GTGTTCGATCGAGGGAAATGTCAGGGGTATTCTTGTCATGGGGACGACTCTAACGGAAACGACTCGGATTCGAGGCCGAATCCTGCTCAACCGGAGGAGAATGATGAGGATTATTATTATTATTATTATTATTATTATTATTATTATTATTATTATTATTATTATTATTATTATTATTATTATTATTATTATTGAGTTGGTTAGGAAAATCTTAGGAGAATATTTATTTCTTGTTTATCAAGTTAGAAACTCTATTTATTGTAGTGTTTGATGGAATGACGGATCAGTTGAATTTGAGAATGAAAAATTGATCGTGTTTTCTTTTGGGAGAGTATCCCGTGTTCTGGAGAGAGAATCTCCTTGTATCTTCCCGTTCGTTCACGCTTTCGCTACATCAGTATGTGAATGTGTTGTGCATGTGTCTGTGTGTGTATTGCTTGTGTCTATGTGTGTATTGCCTATGTTTTGTGTATGTGTGTGTGGAGAGAGAGAAAAATGAGAGAGATGTGATGTGGCATGTAAGTCTACTAATTGTGTGTTGAAATTATCCTATTACCTTTAATGAAGATAAAATTTTATCTTTTTTTTTTAGCTGTTAGATCATCTAATCTAATGGCTATAATTTATTCTTATTTCTTTCGATAGGTATCGTTTTTATATGAACCCAACTCTGTGCATATGACTGAATACTAATTCTAAATAGTACACCACGGTTTCGATAATTCAATTGACGAAAATCAATTCTGGATGATTGTTTTCACCCCTCTGAGGTGAAGGCCATTCTGGAAATCAATTCCCTTGATCCCATGCTGGTAGATAAGTGGAAATGGAAGCTTGATCCCAAAGGAAAATTCTCAGTTGCTAGTTCCTATTCTCATCTGGTGTTGAACAAATTGAGGGACCTTGATGTAGCAGAAAGTAGTGACTCTGCTCTGAAGGATAGGAAAGTCAGGAACCGAAGTTGGAGGTTGAGAGTAAAAGGCAAGCTTAAGCATTTTATCTGGAAATGCTTTAATAACTCCCTCCTTACTAGTCTGGATTTCAAGAAGAGAGGTCTTGCAGTGGACCCCAGATGTGTTTGCTGTGGTGAGGATTGGGAATCTGTCGAACACACTCTGCTGCATTGTGATAGGGCTAGAAGGATTTGGAAGATGGCTGCAGTTCATTGGAAAGAGGTTGGGGATTCTGTTCCATTCAAGAATTGGTGGGCAAATGTCAGTTCTGTGAACAAAAAAAAAATCTCAGAAGCTCGTATTGAACTAACCACCTACATTCTTTGGTGGTTATGGAAGGCTAGAAATCTTTGATTGTTCCAAACCATTTGGATGCCTGATATTGCCATTCTTAATGCAACACAGAAGGACTGGATGGAGTTTCAAGCTTATTGCCATAAAGCAATGTAGCAGTGAAGAAATTAGCAGACTACTAGGTCCTTTTGGTTCAATGGTGTCTCTTTTTCCTCATGATGCTCTGTATTTTTCTGGTTTATGTGTTGGTGTTGTTTCTATTGTTGCAATTAGAGGTCCTCCAGAATTTTTTCTGCTTCTAATCTGCTTAGCTTTAGGTTTCCTTGCAGTTAGGTTTCTTTGCCTTGGATTTGTTCATATTATTTGATGATATATAAGTATGCGGTTTTGAAAAAAAAAAAAAATTGACGAAAACGAGAACAGTTGCGCAAACTCGCGCATTGAATTATGAATTATTTTACCTTTTGGGAAGAGGTCCTTTCGTGCATTATTTTTTTGAATTATTTTCTCTTTTTCAACATGCCCTATTTGGTTCAAAATTCAAATAAAACTACTACTAATACTATGTACGACATGGGTGTTTGAGTTAATGAATATACATGTAAAGTTATTTATGGCTAATACCAAACCTAACTCGAGAGAAAAAATAATATAAAAACAACATCACAAAGCATAGATTTTCGCCATGTCAACATCCGAAGCGTGAGAATCTGTCATCTAGGCTCAACACGTTCTCAATTAATATATAAGGGGAAGGGGATAAGGGGATGGTCAACACACGCTGTTATAGTTCATTCGTAATAAACCCTCATAGCAAGGGGTAATATTGGTATATAATCCATCTCTCTTTTATTAAAAACTCCCAAATCTCGTCGAATTTTCTCCTCCCCACAAATCCCTACCTGCCGTTTTGCGCCTTCTCCGCCAATCGCCGGGGAAGCCCCCCCCTACGCCGCCTCAAGGGTTTTGCTCTTCCCAAAACATCCGCCGCCGATCATCCTAGCCTTCGCTCTCTCTTCGGATCGGAGCCTAACTTTCAATTCCCCCATACTTTTTCCGGTTCTTCGCTAGTTGTTTCAGCTACGATGTATTTCTTTGCTTTGTAGAGCTCTCTCTCATCTCACAGTTCGTCTCAGATCCCGTAGGTTTTATTAATGTATTATTCAATTTCGTGCAATTCGTTGTTATGGCTACACGGTTCACCGTCACCCGCTCGGCCTCCATGGCCGCAAACCTCTCTGCCGCCTCCGGCAAAGACGGCTACTCGCTGTTGTTTCACGGTATCTCGAAGCGATCGCGGATTTTTCAACACCCATTGTTGGGAAAACCCGATCCGAGCTATTCCGGATTCTCCCGCCCTGGATTGGCGACTGATTTCAGAAGACCGATGCCGTTTTCTCAGGCGATTCTGTCTGGGGAAATTGTTGGTGGAAGGATTCAATCACCAGTTATCGTCGGGTTACTCTCTCTGCTGAAGCAATCTATTGGGTCTTCTGGGGTTTCTTCTGCTCAGGCGTCCTCAACCCTTCCTTTCATTCATGGTTCTAACTGGTTGCCATGTAAAGGGCCCGCAAGCGCGGAGGTGGACAGGGGAAAGGCACTTTGTGGTACCGATTCCGAGTGTCTGAGCAAAGGAACTTTGGAGACTCAGATTGCTAGTGGTGGTGGCCGTAAGTGTTCTGAAGCATTGGCGGCCATCAAGAGTGGTTGTGCAAGCAGTGTGAAGGTTCTGCAACAGAAACGTGGTGGTAGTAAGTCTGATAATAGTTGGCCTTTGAAAATGTTGAACTTTTGTTTTACCTCTGAGGATGCTAAGGCGGCTTTCACTGCCGTCAGTGTTGGCATTTTGTTCAAATCAACTTTGGCGGAGCCGAAGTCGATTCCCTCAATGTCTATGTACCCGACACTTAATGTGGGTGATAGAATTCTGGCTGAGAAGGTATGCTCTTGATTAACTCTATTTCTTCTGTTACCTGTGTAATTTGGGGATTGGTTGCGTGTTTGATTCACATGTTGAGACAAATACCGACTATTTTGATTGCGGAGTCATTTGTTTATGGAAGTGGTTTGTATATTGTATGATATTGTTATGAAAGAAAAAGAAACTGTTGACAGTTGTTTCATTGAACTGCTAAATACATTCATGTTTGTATTGCCAGAATTTGGCGTGGATTACAATAAGACCATTGGTTTTGCAGAAAATTTCATTTATGTTATGTGTGCATCAGTTAATTAGTTGTGCAGTTCTGCAATTTTTATTATGTAGTAAGAGGAAAGTCAAGTTGAAATCATTCTTCCAGATGACTTAAGTTATAAGATCTGAACCACAGCTTTTTATCTCATCTCATAGACTGACATGCTTATCACTTAGCATTGAATGATGATCAAGTTAAGTTGTTAACTGTAAAACCGTGATCCGATTCTATCTTTTATATATATATAATAAATGCAGTTTATAACTTGTTGATTCCTTTGGTGATAGAATGAGACAGTAAATGGCGTATGATGCGTATGTCGTAACCTCAACATTTGTTCTTGGTTTTGTTTGCTTTTACAGGTTTCTTATGTTTTTAGGAGTCCTGAAGTTTCAGACATTGTGATTTTCAAGGCTCCTTCATTTCTTCAGGTATTTTTCAAAGAGTCGTTGATAGAATAATACATTGTGTTTTCGTATTCGATCTTGGAGATAACTCGTGAATTATTTTCTCTTGCCTAGGAAGTTGGATTTAGTCCGTCTGAGGTGTTCATCAAAAGAGTAGTAGCAAAAGCTGGTGATTGCGTTGAAGTAAGAAATCTTTTGTGCTTTTAGAATAAATCATTGCTTCATCTTCTCCAATCATGTCCAACTTTTATGTTTTGGACAGGTTCATGGTGGAAAATTGATGGTCAATGGTGTAACTCAAGATGAGGACTTCATCTTGGAGCCAATTGAGTATTTAATGGACCCAATGGTAAATCCTGTGCTTTTTTTTTTAAAAATAAAAAATAATAAAAAAAAAAATTACAGCTTTCAGTTTATGATTTGAAGGTCTGTGGTTTTTATTCTTTTGTAGCTTGTACCGGAGGAATGCGTGTTTGTGTTGGGAGACAACCGAAACAATAGTTTGGACTCTCATAACTGGTAATCAATGTGCTTACACACTATACTATAATCTGTCCCTGCAAACTTATTCCTTTTGCTTTCTGTTCTGACGGATGTTATTTATCATCTATAGTTCTTCCTTGTGATTAGTGTGTACTCCCACATAAGAACTAGGCTATTAGGATTAATTAAAAAAGATTCGCTCGAGGTTAGAATACTGTAAATTAATTATATCCACTTTATGAATTGAACCTCACTTCAAAAATACAAAAATCTCAAGGATTGTTGTGATTAAGGGGGTTTCTTGTAATTCGGAAGATATTTAGCATTTAGGTTTTGTTGTTATTGGTAACCTCAAGGGTAGTCTTTGAATTACCTGAGAAAAATATTTATTTTATTGAGTAACACCAATGGAGAGAGAGTATAAGATTAGAAAGGTCTGCAACTGCCTCTGATCAGATTTGGTGCTTTTTACAGGGGCCCACTGCCTATCGAGTACATTGTTGGTAGATACCTCTTCCGCTACTGGCCTCCATCAAAAGTATGCGACACTCTTCACAGCACTCCCCAGCAATGGGGTGCTGCTGCATTTTCGTGAAAACACCCTCCACAACAAACTTCTTTCACTGATTTCTGATTTTTGCCTCAAAAATCTTTACTCCCGCCCAACTGGGCACGATCTTTGTACCTTCTGAATTCCCTATCTCATGGCTGCTGCAAATATTCTGAGGCTGGTTCTCAAAATCTCCCTCACATAATCATTCAACTTTGTTTTGTGGATCCAATCCAATCCAAACCACTCATCCTTCTAAGTATTACTTCGATTGCTGGTACTCTCGATATTCATTAAGGATGTTAGTATTCGGCTGGGATACCATTGTAGCGCGATTGGTTGGAGACTTGGAAGTTTAATTTCAGGTTACCAAGATTGGTTGATGTCTGGTGGGATTTACTTATTAGTTAAGCCTTTTTGGGGGGTGATTTTGTGTAATGAATGGTTTATGACAGCATGAATTGCTCTGCATATGATGTAGCGCAGATGACAATATTTTTTAAATGAAACGAGTTTTTCAATTATTCTTCGTTGGCCTTTTGTGTTCTTCAATCTCGTGTGTTTCTGGTTGTAGGAAGTTCTTTCTGTTGAATGCTTAAGCCTTCTGTACCGAGTAAATTTGTAGAGGATTATATACAAGCCTTATATAGTCCACCCTAGAGTTGTTAAACAAAATGCGTCATTTGTGAGCCTTAACAAATCGAGCCGATCCACACTAAGCCTTAACAAATCGAGCCGATCCACACTAACAAGTGGCTCATTTCACCCTCACACCAACATAAACGAGTTTTGAGGATGAAATCAGGTAACGTTTATTGTTTTCATATTTCCAAACCAACCTCCATACTTTTTACCAAATATATTTTTGCAAAACAACCTGTACTTATAGTTGGTCAAACACAATTGGTCAAAATAACTATTATAATCCGTTATTTGCTAATAGCTAATTGCCAACCAAGACATAAATTTGGAAAAACTCACATTTTACATAAGCGCATCCGCATTGGCATTAAAGGAAGCTCATCTAAATATGGTTGGCTTGTTCAATCCAATGCCACACGGTCAAAAATGTAATGAGTTACACATATATAGACAACCTTCTATATACAACAAATATATAGACATACAAGAACTATTTTAGTATATAAATAATTTGTATTTATATTTTATGAAATATAACTATAAAAATAATATATAAGTGAGATAATGGATCCCACACATTTTCATTTAAATGTATCAACCAATCTGAGTTAGTTTTTAAATGAGTAAATTATACTGGAATGATGATGTAGAGATGATATGGATGAAAGAGATAATGTTTTTATGCTTAATGTTGACAACCAGTCTGGTCAACCGGACTTAAGGAAAACTAAACATGGATTAAACTCGGAATAAGGAGAGCTCGGCTCAGACCGAACGAAGAACCAACTTCACGCCCGGTGGGGCAACCGACTTCTAAGAAACCGAGATTCCTTTTTGAGACCGAGATCAACATCAGGTGACAATGCATCGACGTGTCCAACTGCCCAAACTGCCATCACATGTGCCCCAATCATGAGCTGCGGGCCTACCTGAAGAATAACTGCCTACGTAAAGTAGCTTTGCATTAAATGCTGCTTACACACAACCTCGAACATCGAGAAAAAAGTTACTATAAATAGGAGAATTAACTCCTGTATGAGGATCTTTTCTGGACATAAAATACTCACGTGCAAAAATAGCTCGATTCATCGAAACCCGATTCAATCTTACACTAATACAAAAACACAACGCTTTACAACATTTTTGTCCTTAATTACTCATTATTATCGTTGTTAAGTTTCGTATAACAACAGTTTGACGCTAGAGGAAGGGCTCCCAAATGTATTTGGAGTTAATCTTTGATCCAGAAAAGGTGTGTTACACATCGCTTTCGTTTACGCTTCAAGAGAAAAATCATGTCACAATCAGGACAACATGATCAAACATCAAGGGCTGGCAACAGTTGAGGCGCCACTCAGTCCGCCGGAAGAACACCATGATGTTGGCGATACACTATGTTTCAAAATTAAGAGTTTGTGAAGGGTTTTTCCACCCTCATGGCCCAAACGATGGCAGAAACTTCCTTGCCAGTTTCTGGACAATCTGTTGCGCCCGTCACCCCGGCAAAGCCACGAACGCCACCGACCCAAGGACGCATCATTGATGCAGCCACGTCACACGCGACTCTGCAATCGCTCGATAACTCGCCACAACCTCAAATGGAGAGGGTTATAGCTCAAATTAACGCCAATTCCCCTAATGTCGTAGCTCCATCGATGGCCAACCTTCAGCCATTCAGGTCATCGTCAAAGACCCCCAACTACTGTACGACTGTTGTTGCAACAACCCGTGAGGCAAACCGACTTGCGCCAGCAAATTGAATGAAGTCGTTCCGCTAGGAAAGAGTCAGCAAAATTGAAAATTATACAAAATAAAATTGCCGAATTAGAAACTCGACAGAAAGAATAAGGAGAATCCCCTCGAAGAACTCCTACTTTAGAACATGTGTATCTGGATGCCAACTCGCCATTGGCTCCTGAGATCACGTCGGAGTCGTTGTCTGGAAAAATCAAAATCCCTCAAATTGGTCTTTATGATGGAACCTTGGATCCCGATGCCCACCTCGGGCATTACACCTCATGGATGGACTTACACGGTGCTTCAGATGCAATAAGATGTCGAATGCTTTCCCTAACTTTAGGACCTCGGGCCCAGAAGTGGTACCACTCATTGCCATACCACTCTATTTTGAAATGGCAGCAGTTGAGGTCGGCGTTCAGATCTCACTTTATAGGAGTTCAGGTCTGCCTAATCCCAAAGGAGTCAATAACGAACATCGTCCAAAAAGAATATGAAAGCGTAAAATATTATATCGCTCAGATTAATGATTGTGTTCGAAACATTGAACCGTTCCACCCCGAAACATTGTTGGTCGCTGCAATAGCTAGTCTACAACCAAACTCCCTGTATAGATGGACATTGTGCCAGAATAAGCCTAAAACGTTTTAGGATTTTTTTTGGCCCGAGCACAACAGCATATAATTGCTGACGAGTCAATGTCGGTATCAAACTTTGACTTTACCTCTAAGGAACCGAAGTCGGGGCCTGAGAAAAGAAGAAGAAAAAGAAGCATTTTGGAGGCTCTTCTGGAAAACCTCAATTCGGGGGTCCACCGAGAGGAGATCCTAAAGATCCCGAGGTAAGAGCAGCTCGGAAGCAGAATGCGAAAGTTTTGACATTGGGTTATCACACCTTCTACTAGGTGGGGGCCGCCACTATAATTGAAGAATTAAAAAAAAAAAAAGGGAATCATACCTGAAGCTAAACCAATTCGTTCCCCCGATGACCGACTTGACAAATCTAAATATTGTGTCTATCATAAATCTCCGGGACATAATACCGACGAATGCCTCAATCTATTATCAGCTTTGATGAGATTAATCGATAATCCCCAAGTTTGTAAATTTAAAAAAACTTCGAATTCAAATGTAAAAGGAGATCTTTGAAGATTCCCGACGATGATGAAGACGATGACAGAGGAGTAAACCCGAAAAGGATCCGCCAAGGTGACAAAGAGGTCTTTACTTTTAGTTTGAGCGTATCTGGGGCCTCGCCCACAAAGCTCGACAAAAGAATCCAAAAGAGTGGCTCGCCGATTACTTCTCACGTGAACTGTATTCCCCGAGTAAACACCAACGACGGGAAACCGAATTCTTCCCGTAGACAAGCAAAAGCGTACGCAAGAAAGACATACAACTCAGGTAAGCAAGTCCTAACTGCTGACCTTAGAGAAATGAAAAATGCTCGTAATTGTCATATCACATTCACCTTAGAGGACTCCAGGAAAGCCCGGATCTAGGACAATGGTGTTGGTCGGGTCTCAGGAGACTGGTGTGTGGAGGTATGATCGATGCTCCTCCGGCTGTGGGTCGGCTTCATCCTTGGAGTGGCTCGAGGCTCGGGACTCATCCTTTGCTAGGAATTAGGTTGTGGCGGGAGTGGCGTTTCGGCTTTCAGGTCAAGCAGTATGGTGGCTAGTCCTTGTTTCGCTGGTGCCTTGTGTTGGGTTTGAATATCTTGTTGGGGAAGGGCTTTGTTTGTTGCTAGATTAGGTTCCTTTATTTTAGGTTGTTCTCTTTGTGTTTGTGTTTGTGTTGTTTAGGTTTGTGTTTTTGGTTTGGGTCATTTGGCATCTGTGCACCCGAGTGTGAATTTACTATCCCGTCAGGGTCGTACACTCAGGCATTATCCTGTTGGGATCGTTTTAGTTGTTGTGTTAGTTGTTTTAGTGTAGTTGTGATTTTGTTTTCTAGCGTTGCTAGCATGCTCTAGGTGATATTCGGATTTGTCTCCCAGTCTTTTCAGCATTTGGTTGTACTCTTCAGCTTTTGGCTGCTTTCTCTTCGCACTTTATACGGTTTTTATTTATATAATTCCTTTGTCGTTTTGGGAAAAAAAATATGTATTGCATCATTTTTTTTGTACGTATTTTATATAAGTACGTTGTAATCAAATATTTTATTTATTCGGCTACAATTAATATAATCAAATATTCTAAATACTATTTAATATTACTTATTTTTTTTATTTATAATATTAATATATTTGACAAGAATGTAAATTTATACTGGTTATAAGATTAAAAAGTTTAGAATTTTCTTCAATTTTTTTATTTTTTTTAAATAAAATTTTAAGTTATTAACTCATTTTCGTATTCAATGAAAATATATGTTATACGTTACAACCATTATGATGTTCATTTAATGCGGTAACTGAGTAATTGTTTAAAATACAACTCATTTATTTATCCTTTTAACTCGCATAGTTAATGTTGATAATAGTTGTAAGTTTACATCTATTTTGTACATTTTTTCTTATTTATATGAATATTTCAAATCTATTTAAGCAAAATATAGCACAAGTTTATCTTATTTCTTTTTCATACTTAATATAATTGTTTAACATGAATTTGTAATTTATTTATTCTAAATTAGTATTGATATTTATATATATATATATATTAT